ACTACCTTATTGTCTATGTCCATGGGCTTAAGAAAAAATATTTTTCCATATGCTTATTATGCAGATATATGACTTCTTTTGTGGCTCATGTATTAAAACATTTTAGCAATTATTCTTCTGGTATGTTTATGTTGTTTCTTTATATTGCAAATAAAAATATCGGGCCTGCCCTAACCGGTTTGGTTCAGTGGATAGAGCATCGGCCTGTGGACTCAAGGGTCCCAGGTTCGATTCCAGTAAAGGGCATGTACCTTGGTTGCGCGCACATCCCCAGTGGGGAGTGTGCAGGAGGCAGCTGATCGATGTTTCTCTCTCATCGATGTTTCTAACTCTCTATCCCTCTCCCTTCCTCTCTGTAAAAAATCAATAAAATATATATTTTTAAAAAATATCGGGCCTTCATCTGTACTATGATATATTGTAAATATTTTCTAGTTTATCACTGGATTTACATTTTGTAATTGATGTGAAAATACTGATTTTAATGTTGTCAAATCTATTACTTCTTGCTCTTGTGGTTGTTGTATTTCTTGTTATGATTAAACAGGTCTTTCCTAGTTTGTTACATAATATTTACTTAAATGTTCTTCAAATAATTCATGGTTTCACTTTTTTATATTTAATATTTTAATCTATCTATAATTTATTTTAAAGGAAAGCATACAATAAAAACCTGATTTTATATTTTTCCAAAGCACTGACCAATTATTTCAGCTCAAGTTTTCAACTAAATTGAAATGCTAATATTCAAAATCTAGGTAAAAATACTTCCCTGGGTCTAATGCTAGGCATTGTCTTCTATTCTGGTGCCACTAACAGAAAGTAATTATCTCATTAAAGGTATATATTTTTATAAATATATACCTGATTATGCATGGTTATCTTCAAGTGTCCTTTGTTCCAAAAGGCTTAGAATTAATGAATCAGATTCCAAGTGTATATATGTGGCTTGTGATTAAAGTTGCATCAGATTTGACATCTTTATAATATTGAGCCTTTCTATTTACATTACTCATCACCATATATTATAGTCTCCTTTTATGCTTCTTACTAGTGTTTTATTGTTTTGCTTTTATAGCTCCTATAAATTCTAAGTTTATTTCTAGTATTTTAAATTGATATTTTAAATAGGATTTTACATTATAATTTAAAAATTTATTGCTCACATATTAAAAAGCTATTGATTTGTGCACTTATTGAATTCAGCTGATAGTTATTCAGGTGGTTCTTTACATTTCTAAAACCAAATGTACATAATACACACACACACAAAAATGGCAGTTTGGATTTCTTTCAACAGTCCCAACTACTGTCCTTTGTTTATGCAACACATTGGCCAAAACTTTAATAACAATATTTAATGATTATTGTAATGCACTGTTTTTTAATGTTAGTTTTTCTATAAAACAAAATTTCTGTTTCAGAGAGATTTTTAAATATTTATTTTGTATTAGTATTTAAAGCCATGATTCTCAACTAATGGCTCAACACCCTAGTAAAAAACATTAATTCAAAGAAAGTTCTTTGCAATCCTAATTCTGTTTATTCAAAGAATGCAAGCTGAATTTTATAAAATGCATTTGTTTTATACCAAAATGATTATATTCTTAAACTTTATAGCTATTGTTTAGATAAATTATATTAATTATTTCAATTTGAGCCATCTCTCTTTACTTGAATGAGTCACACTCAGTCATAATCTTATTTTCTTCTAATAAATTACTAGGTTTCATTTGTTGCTGTTTAGGATTTTTGCATTTTACTTACACTTTGTTGTTGCCTCAGATTTTGTTAGGGTTTTTTGAGTTATCTTTAGCAGGTGCTTAAAAAATTATTTTATGCTTGCCACCTAAAATTAATTGGAAAGCTTCACATATTTTCCTGTGCTGTGGAATAGATTGCACAACATAAAAAGTAGTAGATGTGCCCTAGCGGGTTTGGATCGATGGATAGTGTCAGCCTGAGGACTGAAGGGCCCCAGGTTCGATTCCGGTCAAGGGCATGTACCTTGTTTGTATGCGGTCACATCCCCAGTAGGTAGTGTGCAGGAGGCAGCTGAATCGATGTTTCTCTCTCATTGATGTTTCTAACTCTCTATCCCTCTCCCTTCCTCTCTGTAAAAAATCAATACAATATATTTTAAAAATAAGTAGTAGATGAATGAAGGAAAAAAACACGTCATACATATTTGAACCAAATGTATTTTTGGAAATAAATCTTGGATAACTTTATACCTTTATTATTGGTTCTTCCACTTTTATTGTCCTTTAGGCAATTAATTTATTTCTATATATAACTTTTTAAATTTCAAAATACCATATAGATAGCACATTTTATATTACAATTTTAGTCTCTTTGGTATGTTATATTTGAATTCTCATTTCTGATTTTACATAATTTTGTATGATTAAAGTTATTAGAGATTAAAACAGTATCTCTAAAAATAAAAAAAATCTAAGTCTACTAATTTCCTACCAATTCACCAATTTCTGCCTTTATCTTGCACCAAATGATTTCATTAGATTTATTAGTCATTTTGTTTCTAGTTTCTCATAATGAAAACTTAGTTTATTTTTGTATTTTCTTATTCAACAATACAAGCATTTAATATGATTGCATGTTTGGCCATGTCTCATGCAACACTCCCAATATTGCTTCTTCCCAAGTATCCTATTGATAAAGTTTTGATCTCCTCTTTGATACAAAAGTTATTTAGAAAAGGGTGGGTTTTTTTCCTATTTTTCCATCTTACAAGAAATTAAGATTTATGATTAAGATAGTATTTTTATCTTTATCTTTATTTTATTGTAATCATATTCTATATCATTTCTGTTTATTAAAATTTATTAAGGTTTTAATCATATCTATAATAATAAAAGCATAATATGCTAATTAGACCGGACAGCTGAATGATCTTCCGGACTTCATTCCAGACGTCCTTCCGGACGAAGCCGCAGCGGCAGGGGCTGAGGCAGAGGCAGTTAGGCGATCAGGCAGACAGGCGAGCAGTTAGGGGCATCAGGCAGGCAGGCAGAGGAGTTAGGGGTGATCAGGAAGGCAGGCAGAGTGGTTAGGGGCGATCAGGCAGGCAGGTGAGTGGTTAGGGGCAATGAGGCAGGCAGGCAGAGTGGTTAGGGGTGATCAGGCAGGTAGGCGAGTGGTTAGGAGCCAGCGGTCCCGGATTGTGAGAGGAATGTTCGACTGCCATTTTAGGCCCACAGGATTGGGCCTAAACCTGCAGTCAGACATCCCCTGAGGGGTCCCAGATTGTGAGAGGGTGCAGGCCAGGCTGAGGGGACCCCCTCCACTCCTGTGCACAAATTTCGTGCACTGGGATATATATATATATATATTGGGTAAGGCTATATTAGTATATGTACATATACATACAAATCAAATTGCCTTTATTATATTATTCATATTTCTTCATATTTTGTATATTGTTTTTAACCTATATTAAAGATTAAACACTGAAAAAGGTAAGTAAATGTATTTCATGTCTTTTGTTTCTGTCAATTTATCCTTATATTACTTAGAGACTTATTCTATATAGTTCTATATTGTTATCTTGTATAAAACTTTTCTGATATTGGGGTCTCATTGGAGATTGAAATCTTTATTAATATAAAATATATTTATTTGACCAATTGTATATATTTGATTTTTTCTTTTGACTAATTTTGAGGTTTTTGCTTTCATTTTTTTAAATTATTCATTTCAATATTTAATTGAAATACATCTTTGCATATATATTATAGATGTGTATATATATGTATATATAACCAGTATCATCCACACACACAACGAACTAATATATATATATATATATATATATATATATATATATATATATAACCCTGACTAATACATTAACTTTTCAAAATTACAGAAACAATTAGAATTTTCCTTACTTTAACAACCGTATTTGTAGTATTAAATTTACTTCAATGTTTACCTTTAATCTATAAAATATATATACTTTTATATATTTTTTAAATTTTTATTTTTATTCTTGAATTTTATGTTCAGTTTTATCTCTTTATTAATCTCTTTTGTCCATTTATTTCAGGTCTTGTCTTGCAAAGCAAAACAGTATCTTTTTTTTTTAGGCATAGAGTCCATAATCTTTTTTTCCTTAAACATATATTGGTTTTGCTCTACTATCATCCTACCTTTAATGATGTACAAAATTCTATGATTAGCAAGTTTCATGCCTCCTTCTGTTTTTCTTTTACTTTTCCACTCTTTTTTCTTATACTATGAGAATATGTAGCAATCATTGCTCTTGATGTTGCTCTGTTCAAATTAAATGTAACTATTCCAAAGCTTGCTATGCACATTTCATTTACAGTTTTCACTATTCTTTCTGTTGTAGTTATTCTGGGCTCTTATTAAAAAGAGCAATTACCTGCATAAACTTTCTAATTTCTGTTTTCTATTTTTAATACCTTCTCTTTTATTATTTTTATCTCCTGACCTTTTATTCTGCATTCAGGTAAATTCCACCAGTTTGTTCTCCATATTACCTCTGTAGTTTGAGGCAGTGATAATTTCATCCTTTACTCCTCCAATATTATTAAATTATATTACTACCTTCTCAATTCTATAATATTCTTCATATGCTTCATCTCACTCTTAATTTATTTTCATCTATCTCTTAATCACCTACCATTTCAATTCAGACTATAATGGTTCCACCTTATACATCATCTATTAACTCATAGAATTGATATTTTTAAAGATTTGTTGATGGCTGTAAACATGTGTTAACTAAAATTAATTCCTTAAATAAACTATGTTCTCTCCTGCCTTTTACTTGTTTTATTTTTTCTCTATTACTTTTCAGAAATTTCCATAATCCCTTCTGGTCTCCTTTTTTTTCATTTATTTATCCTTGAATTATAATTATTAATCTAAAATTTAATTTTATGTCATAACAAAACATCAAGCAGAAGCAAACTAAACCAAGAAATATATCGTAACTTACTCTCATTCCTTACCTCTCATTGCCTGAAGCAATGTCAGCCCCAAGCCGTGTCCAGGATTTCTTGGGATAAGCACTGTGAAGCTGAAGTTTCCCATAAACTCCTGAAAATAAAATAAGCAAAATTCTTCAGATGAATTAAGGAAACATGAGTAAAACTCATTATAGAGGTTATTGGGCAAGATATGTGATATAGAAACTACATATAAAGATGTACACTTATCAGAAAAAGAGTATTTTAGTGCTCTGTTTTTAGCAGGTCAAATATATCTCACATGGACATGAAACGCACTCTCTCAAAAATTATAGAAAAATTCATGCACATCACATCTAGTAATCCAACAGTTGGGAAATAGACCACACTAATGGCTAATTAGATTTCCACCATTAAGTGACTCCACACCATCTGCAATTTGGTTGGAAGTTAACTGGTTTTGATATTTTATGTCATACACTAGATTTTCCAAAAGGCAAGAGTAATTTATTATTTCCTAAGGAAAGAGATTTGGTGCTATTAACTTTGTTTTCAGTGGTTAGACCTCTATTTCTTTATTACAGATATCAAAGAATAGATCTCTAGCTCCTTTGTTTCAAAATATAATTTAAGACTCATAAATTAAAGTCTTGCCAAGGTCTTGCTTGATGCAGTCCAGTTTTATCCCTTCAGGTCTTTTCTCTTATATGTTTTACTACATTTTAAAATTACGTGAAGCTCAATTCCTCATATCCTAGTGGTCTAAAAATGTTTTGGGCATGAACCCAAGCAGTAACAAAATTATGGTTATATACTCCTACTGCATGTATATTTATTTAATTAAATATACATATGTATGAGTATATTCATATTTATTTGAATAGGAGTTCTAATATTTTCTTCAAATATTTTCCAAAGAATTGTCTACATACCCCTGTGCTGTTGTACCCAATTTTGTTGCAAATCATGAATCTTGAACACTAAAGATCTTATAAATTTTAGCAGAAAACATGAATAAAAGAAACAAACACTAGTAAGGTACAAATAATATGCCTTAAGTTTTCATCTTATGTAAAACAAAAAAGTTTCAAATAATGGAAGTTTAACCAACTATTTATGTCAATATCCTTAATTTTTTCCATACTCTAATTCAAAGAAAAGCCAGAAGATAATAAAACTAAAATTAGAATTAATGGAAATGTAAAAAACACTCTGAATTTCAGGATATGTCCTGGAATCAATATTTCATAATAATAATCATATGTACATAAAATACCATAATCATTATTATCATCATTTTAAAATTCCATCTTTAACACTATTGGTTAAATATGGTAACCAATTTCTTCAGAAGAAGAAATATGAAGTAATTTAGAGAAATTGCCAACAACAAAAGATTTTAACAACAACCAAAAACAAACAAACAAAAAACCCTAACAGTTTATTTCCTTAAATTTGAATTATCCAAAAAATTTAATTGACCAGAAAAGTAGATTTCTTGATCATTCACAATCATCGAAAGTTTACACATTATGGAACTAAGTTACCAAACTTCAAACTATCCTAACATGTCTGTTTCCATTTTACTGAGTCACTGATATTTTATGCAATTAGTAATGACGTACAGAGTAAGTGAGAAAATACTAGAAATCTGATAAACAGTCTCTTATAGCTATATCTTAAAACTGAGTTATTGTGTGGCTCTTACAACATGTTATACAAGACCGGTCACAGTATCTATGATCTCCTGTAGAGCAATTTTAAAATAAGATTTGGTGTTGTGGCAGTATCAAATGGAGAAACTGTCAATAGTAAATCTTTCTTTGTAATTTATAGATCTCTAAGTTTTAAAAAGTATATCTTCAGTGACCCTATATTTGACTCCCCCTACCCTTTACTACCCCCCACTCCCATTCCTTCTGGTAACCACCATACTGTTGTCTGTGTATATGAGCTTTTGTTTTTCTTATTTGTTCATTTGTTGCTTTCAGTTTTCTATCCCTCATATGAGTGAAATCATATGGTTCTTAACTTGCAATATACAGATCATATGTCATAGAAATGCACACTTGAAACTACGTAATCTCTTTAACCAATGTCACCCCAATATATTAAAAATAATTTTAAAATTAAAAATGTAATAAAAATATATCAATAATTACATAGTATTTACAATTAATAATACAGACTCTTAGTCTAGATTTTGGTGTCTGCTCATCTGGTTATGATTCTAAATTCTGACACTGTCCAGCTATATGGCCTTTTTCATATATTGTTCATCATTTGTAAAATGGGCACTGCTTACAGGAGAGCTGGTAAATAAAATAAATATAAATTATCCAAAACAGTAACTGGAATTTAGTAGATGTTCCAATATATGAATGGTGCTTTATCACACAAACACACACATATTTCATTTTTAATAAAAACTTATTTTATTCTTACCAATTGTTCCTGGATCAATATGAATTCCATTGAAACGGTCACAAAAGACTCCCTCTGAGGCTCTAAGGAGAATCAGAAGCTTTTGTTCTTTTTGTAAGGGATTTTCCAAAGTACCTATTTACAAAGAAAAGTATATCTTTTAAATGAATTTGAAATTAAAAGAGAGAGAGAGGGAGTTGTGATGTAATTTCAGAAATGCAAAATAGATGCAATCGAGTAGACTATCTAGAGAAGAGCCAATGGTCACACAGATGAAATATGAAAAGGAGGGAAAATGAGATACAGTAAACTCTGAAGGGATTTGGCTAACCATTCATCAAAAATACACTTTTTTTCCAATTAGGGCAGAGTATATCTTCCTGACCTACTAGTATTTAGCTTGGTCATGTGATTTGTTTTGGCCAATAAAATTTGTGTGGAGGTGACAGCAATGTCAGTTCTGAATTGATGCTTTAAGTTGCTTGGCAAGTTTTCACTATGAAAGGCATATTCTTTAATTTTTTTTTCAGTCTCTAGTACCTGACTGAAAAAAAGACAAACCTAACCGATCTGAAGAGAACACACAAGCTGGAAGCAATTCCAACTCAGTCTAACATTGATATTTGTTGTGGTATGTCACTTAGGTTCATGGATTATTTCTTACACATGGTCACTACAGCAAAACCTGGCTGATGCATGTCTATGACTGGCTTTAAAGCATTTTAGCATTTAATCTTCACAACAAACCTGAAAAGTATGGTTCTTATCTCAATATCAAATATTCATATATAAACGAGGCTTAGCGGTTAAGGGACTTGACCAAATTTATCCAACTGGTAAGTAACAGAGTCTGAATTTGAACAATAATCTGTTTATGCTAAGTTTCCTATTAAAAAGTAAAAAGCTATTTTCTAAGCCTAAATTCTTTTAGCAGCATAATGACACAATCCATTCAGGCTATAATAGACATCAGTTGGAAATAGCTTCTGACATTATTCCCTTGATGTAAACAGTAGAGTTCATCAGTTTTATAGTATGAGAATTCTTTGGGGGATTTGCTCAAATAGTGGTACTGAGTATGGACCTAACAAATGTTATTTTCTTCTTAAAGAAAATATGACAAAAAAATCAGTTTTTTCAAGAAGCACCTGATGAAAAGATAGTCTCCAAACTACACACTGGATCAAACAGGTTTATAAAAGACATCTGCTCTCAAACAAGACTTTCCAGTTAGAAATTCTTGAAAACATAACCAAAAATAAGGTTGCTAAGTACAGTATGAAGTAAATGCTAAGCTTAAAATTGCCGGGTTGTCATTGTGGTTAAGTGGCCTTTCAGAGGGCATAAAGTCATCTTCCCCAGCTGGCACTTCACATACACCCGGTTAATCAAAAGGCTCAATGTGAGTTTGCAGCTTGCTACATACCTATCTTTATAGCCCAGGAGTACAGACATTAGTCTACCAGGGACTGCTGAAGGTAAGACTCAGAGAGGGAAGTACATCTGCTTAGAGTTGCACATTAGGTCCAGGGGCAAGCAAGGGTTAGACCCCACAGCCTGTGTTCCCAATGAGATGCCAAGGCAGCTGCTTTCCATGCAGGTAATGCCAACCCTCAGCCAAGCGACCAGCATACCCTTTTAGCCAACACCAAGCTGTTCCAGAGCAGACAGAAAGCAAGCGGGGGAAGAGGAGAACGTTAAGAAAATGCGTGTGGTGTAGCTCTTATCTTGTGGTTATAAGTCTGTCCAGTAAGCCGTTTTCCAACTGTGATTTCATTTATTTCACGGAGGGTAGTTTAGATTCTTAGGGGAAAAAATGGCCTAGCACTAAACAGATACCAGAGAGAAAAAAGTAGGGCAGTTTTTGCCCTAGAGAAATGTATGCAGCGTCCCACAAAAGGAGTTCAGCGTTCCTCTAAAATCAGAGATTGAATCAATTATGCAACTCAAAACAGCAGCATATGTGCAGCTTCCACAGAAAGTCTGGGCAAAATTAGTCAGCCCCCCTCACCCTCACCCCGAGATCTTGGGGTATCTCAAATCACCAGAGTTTGGATTTGTTCTGTGATGTGGGGGAGGGGAAAGGTGCAGGATAGGAACTGAGCAGGAAGAAGGCAAGAGTGACCTAAGAGAAGGGAGATATATATATATATTTTATATATATATAATTTTAACATTAAAATGAAGTGCATCTTAAATTTGTAAAAGCTGGTGAATGGAAAGCCCTGAAGGCTGGCTCCTCATTTTATTCTCAAATCTATCAATCAAAGAAAGGTGAGCACTCTCTCCAGGTGGGCTTTGCTCCTAAATGAGAGTAGCCACCTCTCACAGAAGGCTCTCGGGATAATGCTGTTCCTCTCTGATTTTCCTTTCTGAAGCTGCCTGGCACTGCTGGAAACCGTAGCAAAAGGCATTTTCAACCTGGACGAATTTAGATATACTCATCATGGAGGGAAAATCGTTGCCATTTGCTGCAAAGAGGTGCCAGGTGTTTACGCATACATGATTTTATTTAACTCTGACAACCCTGTGATGGATATTGTTGAGGTTTCCATGAGGAAACTGAGGCAAGGAGAGGTTAAGTAACTTATCAGAAATTACACAGCAAATAAGTGGTGAAACTGGGCTTCAACTTAATAAGTACCGTGTGGGTCATGTGCAAATAGATGAATAGGAATGAAGTAAAGGGAAGTTACCATTACTTAGTATGATGGTGGGCAATGGAGGGGAACAGAATACGTTCCAGATGTAAAATCACCTGGGGAGGTGGAAGAAAATACATTCTGCTGTACGACAGATAACCATTATAATGATTTGAGGAATATGCTACAAATAGATTCCATGAGCTTCAAGGGTAAGAAAAACGGAAAAGGAGCTTATATTATTTCATTAATTAAACCTTTTTTATAAAATCAGAAATAAACATAGTTTGCATGTAAGCCACTCTCCCAACATGACCCCCACACCTTGTAACTAAGCCAATCCACACCCAGTCACTCATGATCCCCTCCGCTCCCTCCTCCCTCCTCTGCACACGAGCTGCCCCAGGCTTTGAGGTCACTTACCTTTGTCCTATCTAAATCAGAATCATCCCTCAAAACGTAGCTTTGCTGTAATTTCTTTCTAAAAGTCTTCTATGATATTGAATTACGTGCCCCCTTTTGTGGATAAACAAGCTCGTGCCCCTTGCTGCAGTAATTTTCCTTCAAGGAACTTGTCCTAAAGAAATAGTGTGGAAGGTAGACAGATGAAGGCCCTAAGTGCCTCACTGCAGTATTATTTTTATATGTATAAAAGCCTAAGCGACTGAATGACCGGAAGACCGGTGGCTATGATGCAAACTGACCACCAGGGGACAGACGCTCAATGCACAGGATCACGGTCCCTCCTGTCTGGAGCGGGCCTGCGGGGATTGGGCTGAAACTGGCTATCCGACATCCCCCACGGAGTCTCGGAGATTGCAAGAGGGCACAGGCCAGGCCAAGGGACCACACTGGTGCACGAATCCGTGCACCGAGCCTCTAGTCTAGTTATAATCACAAACATTTGAAAACACTTTGAAATAGTACACAATTGGAAACAAGTTTGTTTATTTAGAACCCTCTTTTTCCCCTACTTCCTGGACATGCTCAATAGATGAGCCACATAATTCCCTAAGCAAGCCCAAACCCACTTCAGACACCACTCCCTCTGGGACCCTTCCTTGTCAATTAAGTGTGGGTTAGGTGGTCCTCTATGGGCTATCAAAGCATAGTGTGTTTTCGCCCAATACTTCCATACTGTATCATGAGTGCCTTTGATCTGACTGCTTCCTTCCCTTCACAGTGAGCTAATGCAGAGAGGTGACTGTGTATTGGAAGGAGTGTTCATTTATTTTATTCCAGAAATGGTGAACTAGGTCACTTTAACCAATTCTCTTGCAGAAAGCAATCAGAAATAAAGAGGAATACTGTACAGTTAAAAAGACTCATTTCGCCAATCTATATATATAAAAGCCTAAGCGACCATTACAACTGAATGACCAGAATGACTGAAACGACCAAGCAACCAGTCGCTATGATGCACACTGACCACCAGGGGGCAGATGCTACCCCTCCCCTCCCCCTGGCTGGCCTCCCCATCGACTCTGATTGGGGGAGGGGAGGAACTGCCCCTCCCCCTGGCTGGACCCCCTGCCGGCCAACCTCCCATGGTCCCTCCTCCCCCCGCCAACTTCCCGTGGTCCCTCCCCCTGGCCAGACTAAACCTCCCTCCAGATACGACACAATCGCCAGCCTGGCCAAGGTACCCCATCCATGTACCAATTCATGCATCGGGGACGAAGGGAAATATCGCTCTGGCTCTCTACAGCTCACAGTGATCAGTCTAGCTAATACCTTATTCCCGTCCATTTAGGGATATCTCCACGAAGAATTATTAAACACATATTGTTGTGTAATCTCACAAATAATAATAATTATGCTCATCAGAATCATTCTACTATACAATGAAGAACCTACGCCATCAACGTCGAGATATGTCTATTAAGCTCTACCTATAACTATAAGCAAAAATCATCGGTATGGAATATACAAATTCTGATCATTTGACAATGGAATAGCTAATCTTTG